GGTCTGTGTTAATTGAGAATATTAAGCATAGAAACTATAGTACTATCAAGATTTATCTCTGTATCAGTGTCATTCTGTTGTTCATTGATTTCCTCAAGCAGGCATCAGTAACATCTCTGTTCATTCTAGCCCTGAGATTTTAGCAAGTGCCACATTGGAGGCTCTTTCAGGGTCAGGAAAATGAGACCCATCATTGTTACTGGGTTTTGGCATATTGAATACGCCACGGGGAGCTTGCCAGACTCTGCTGTGCGGGCAGGATACTCTCAGTAGCCTGCCGCCTGCCGGGTTCTCCAAGAGTGAGAACTATCAAGATTTATAGACTTGTACAATCTTTTGGAAAAAAATTTGGAGTAATATTTTAGAGTTAAGGAAGTGCATATTCTATGAATGACCATATGACACTAGAAATGTTTGCAAATGTGTACCAAAAACCTTTACCAATTGAATATTTACTCTTTTTCCCTTGCTGTAACAAAAAGCCATGACATTTATTAAAATGTTCACATAAAGGCAACGAGTTAGTAAACTGTAATCATCACGTAATACTTTACAGAAATGATAATGAAACAATTGCAGATTTATTCAGCATATAGCACTGTCCTATTGTTGTTCATCAATTTGCTCAAGTGGGCACCAGTAATGTCTCACAACAGATTGTGAGACTTGCTGTTACTGTGTTTGGCAAATCGAATACGTCACGGCAAATTGAAAAGCTTGCCACACTTTTCTGTGCAGGCAAGATACTCTCTAGGTAGCTTGCTGGGCTCTCCGAGAGGGGTGAAGGAATGGAATCTGGGTCAGCCATATCGGCTGTGTGCAAGCAAATGCCTTACCCGCTGCTCTATGGCTCCAGCCCCTCAATTTCTATAGAAAAGAAACACATTAAGGGAGCAATGAAAGGCCAGCTGCTACAGAACTGGAGAGTTGATTCACAGAACTGAGCTTACCTGGATGTGGGAGAAAGGGTGTGTGGGAGGAGTCCTTGGGATATAGGTGGATGGAAGGACACTCTGATATTGGTTGTGATGTTGGGACAATGTATGTGAATGTAACTGGGTACTCTGATGGTGGATATGGTGTTGGGATGATGTAGGTATGCAGGTATTGCTAACTGTACTGTAAATCACAGTATCTCAATAAAAAATGGAAAATATATATCATATTCTGCATATATAAACCAAATCAGGAAATTGTAAAGACTATGATATCTCCGTGAAAACTAAAATCATGCACTGTATATTAAGTCAATTAAGAATACATGGCCCAGAGAGACAGTACAGGGGTTAGGACATTTGCCCTGCATGTGGCTGATGCTGATTAGGCCCTATGCACCCTGCTTGGTTCCCAGAGTACTGCAAAGAGTAATCCCTCAGTGCAGTCAGAGGTAAACCCTGAGCACTGCCAGCTGTGTTCCTCTGCCCACCCAAAAGAAAACATTTTTAATGTCAGAAAATTAAATGAAATCAAGCAAATCATTGGCATGATAATCAGGATATTGGTTATCTCTGAGTAGTCAGAGTTTCAATTTTAAAATCCAAATGGGAATATTTGATTACTATTAGCAATACATTTTACTTATATTATTGACTGTGAAGTGTACAACACATATAGAAATAATAAACAGAACAAAAATCAAAAATGTACCAGCTCAATAAATTACCACAAAGCATAGCTCTATAGAACTGTACCCACTGGTGGTGGTGGAGCAGCGGGTGAGCAGGAGCTCTTCACACCCAAATCTGCCTGCTAATTATTGGGGAATTTAGTAGTAGAACACTTACTATTGTAGGGACTGTGTTCAGGATAACCCTCTGCCAGGTTTTACAACCAGTTTTGTGCTTATCACCTCTCAAGGAAATGATAACCCTGCTGTCCTTGAGTCACACATCTCAGAGGTTGTCACTGGAATCCAGAACCTATTTTAAAGAAGTAAAATATGTGGGCAGAGTCTGGCAAACTCCCCGTGGCGTACCAAATATGCCAAATACCAGTAACAATGATGGGTCTCATTCTCCTAAAGAGCCTTGAATATAATCTCAGGGCTAGGATGAAAGAGACGTTACTGGGGCCTGCTCGAGGCAATCGACGAATAACAGGATGATGAAATGAAATGAATGAAATATGTGTAAGCTCCTGTTTATAAAATATTTAGTAAAATATTTAGATAGCTCCTGTTTGTTTGTGTTGGTTTTGAGATAAGACCTGACAGTGCTCAGGGCTTATTTCTGGTACTGTGCTCAGGGATTACTCCTGGTGGTGCTCAGGAAACTATATGTAGAGTAAGGGCTTGAACAAGGTTGGGCATGTGCACGACAAGAACTGTAACCCTTGTTCTAGCTCTTGGGCCCCAGCTTCTCTTCTCTTCTCTTCTTTCTTTCTTTCTTTCTTTCTTTCTTTCTTTCTTTCTTTCTTTCTTTCTTTCTTTCTTTCTTTCTTCTTTTCGGTCACACCCAAAGATGCTCAGGGGTTACTCCTGACTCTCTGCTCTGGAATCACTCCTGGCAGTGCTGGGGGACCATATGGGATGCCGGGGATTGAACCCAGCTTGGCCGTGTGCAAGACAAAACACCCTGCCCACTGTACTATCACACTGGCCCCTCCTTTTTTTTTTTTCTTAATTGTAGTTCTTTCACATTTGACTTCTTTAACCAAAATGATGTTGGTGAGGTTTTTTTTTTTAATTTTTATTAGTGAGAGACATGAGGTACAGTTGTAGAGTTACAAATTTTTGTAATCATACAATCATACAATGATCAAATACCCATCCCTCCACCAGTGCTCATTTCACCACCATGGATCCCAGTATCCCTTCCACCCCCCATCTCCCCCATCCCACACTGCGTCTGTGTCAGGGCATTTCCTTTTGTTCTCTCTCTTCTCTTGGGTGTTGTCTCTCCTCTTGGGTGTTGTGGTTTGCAAAAGAGGCATTGAGTGGCAATCATGTTTGGTCTATAGAGTACTTTCAGCATGCTTCTCCCATCCTGGGAGGATCCTCCCAACACCCTTTATTTGGTGCTCCCTTCTCTATCTTTATTTATTTATTGAATCGCTGTGGGAAAAGTTACAAAGCTTTCAGGTTTAGGTCTCGGTCATGCAAATATCAATCACATTTCCCTTTATCAATACTTATTTTTCACCACGAAGAACCCCAATAAACCCCCACCCTCCACCCCCCACCCCAATGTCTGTGGGCCAGATGAATTCTAGTTAACACTCTGTCTACTTTGACTAGCTTCATTGTTTTGATAAAAGTTGCACCATTATTATTTAGACTTTACCCCCCCCGCCAATCAGCCATGTTGAAAAAGCATTGTGAAATGATTTGCTTTCTACAGCTGGGTTCAAGAATTAAATGATGTGGCGCGGCCGCTATTGCGGCTGCGCAGTTTTGTATTTCTGCTATTTTATTTATTAACCCTGGAACTATTTCTACTGAGAGTCAGATAATTAAGAGATTAGTTTCTGTGCTTCTGGGCCGTGGCCGTGCCGGAGAGCCGCTCGTGGGGGGCAACTGGTGACCTCGGTAGGGCGTGAAGGACAGGCCAGAACGTCCCCTGTCCCATGTCCCTTCTCTATCTGAGCTCCCTTTTCCCCTAGAATCGTTAGCTGGCCTCCAAGCCATGCTGTATAAAACTCACCAACATTCTAACACCCAAGAATGTTGATGAGTTTTATACAGCCGACCTGGGTTTGATTCCTCTGCCCCTCTTGGAGAGCCCAGCAAGCTACCAAGAGTATCTCGCCCGCACGACAAAGCCTGGCAAGCTCCCCGTGGCATATTTGATATGCCAAAAAGAGTAACAACAAGTCTCACAATGGAGATGTTACTGGTGCCCGCTTGAGCAAATCGATGAACAATGGGAGGACAGTGCTACATTATTTACTGTCAAATGAATGTTTAATTTATATGTCTAATTTATATACCTATATACCTGTGGTTGTGTTAAAATTTCTAAGATCTAAAGTGGGAAGTTTTCTTTTTCTTTATTGAATCACCATGAGCTACACTTACGAAAATTTCATGTTTGAGTTTCAGTCATACAATGATCAAACACCCATCCTTCCACCAGCGTACATTCTCCAACACCAATGTCCCCAGTATTCCTACCGCCCCCATCACCCCTCCCCCTCCCTCTATGGCAGACAGTTTCCGTCTTTCTCTCTGCTTAAAGGCATTATTGTTTACAGTAAAGATACTGAGAGGACATCATGTTTGGTCCTTTTCCTACTTTCAGCACACAGCTCCCATCCTGAGTGATCCCTCCCACCATCATTGACTTAGTTATCCCTTCTCTATCCCAGCTGCCTTCTCCAGCAGCGCATGAGGCAGGCTACCAATCATGGAGCAATCTTCCTGGCCCTTGTCTCTAGTGTCCTTGGGTGTTAGTCTCATATTATTATATTTTATATTCCACAAATGAGTGCAGTCCTTCTGTCTGCCCCTCTTTTTCTGACTCATTTCGCTTAGCATGATACTCTCCGTGAACATCCACTTATAAGAAAATTTCATGACTTCATCTTTCCTAACAGCTGCATAGTATTCCATTGTGTGGGTGTACCCAAGTTTCTTTAACCAGTCGTCTGCTCTTGGGCACTCGGGTTGTTTCTGGATTCTGGCTATTGTGAACAGTGCTGCAATAAACATACAGGTGCAGATGTCATTTCGGCTATGCTTTTTTTGCACCCTCAGGATATGTTCCCAGAAGTGGTATTGCAGGGTCATATGGAAGCTCAATTTTGAGTTTTTTAAAAAATGCTTAGATTGTTTTCCAAAAAGGCTGGAACAGTCGGTATTTCCATCAACAATGATAAAGTGGGGAAAGTTTAATAATGTTCAATTTGGAATGGAGTTTTTATAGCTAAAATAGAAATATGAAATTATTTTTATTGTATTCCTATTTAATACTTTTTGTGCCATTTTAATTAATATGAGATATTTGATAAAATATCTTTAAAAATAATAAATTTGACAAATAATTTTTTTATTTCTCCTTTAGGTGGATGATGCTAAGTCTTTTCCAGGACCTTTTAAAGTCTTGCCTGTGAAAACAATGTGGAGTGACATTAGCTTTCACATCCTTTTATTTGATCTGGAAAGCCTCATTGAGCTTCTGCTGCCAACTCCAATTTGTGATGTTGACTCTTCCAATTCCTTCTATGGCACTGAGATCCTTCGAAGAGCCAGAAGCACGGTGGAGAAGAAAACATTGACACTGAAGAGAAATAAAACTGCCAGTGGCCCCCTCTCAGCAGAGGCTCAAGCCAAGCCTGTCAGTGAAAATCTAGTCCAAGGAGATAACGCTATCAGATTCTTAGAAGAAAATGATGGCATTAAAAGGCATAAGAAAATGAAGAGCTCCAAAAAGATACAACCGAAACCTTTAAGAAAAGTTGATGCCAACCTCACAATAGACATAGCCAAATTGCTCCTTTCTTGCCTTTTGCCATGGGGAGTGGATAAAGAATTAGATAATCTTTGCATTAAGCATCTCAACATTTTAAAGCTCCAGGATCCTGTTTCTTTAGGACTTGCTTCTAATGAGGATCACTTCTCACTGATGCTGCCAGGTTGGGATTTATGCAATGCTGAAGTGAAAAAGGATTCTTCAAAAGTCAATTTATTTTCCAGAAAAGTTTTGGACTTGTCAAATAAATATAAATCTACTCTTTTAAATCATATTGGAATACCAAGAGAATTGGAAAATAATTGTGATTCTTTGCAAGAGTCAAACACTATCATTTATTTATTGAACAGACTATTTTTAGTTAATAAGTTAGTTAACATGCCCCTAGAATCAGCATGTGGAAATCACAGGTAAGGTTTATCTATTGATTTAGATTTGTCTATATTTTTAAATGATTACTGTGATTATTATAAATGATCACTTATAATTATTATTATATTCTGTGGTCTGTATTTAGAATATATTCTTCCTTCTAATTTTCCTTCTTCCTTCCTTCCTTCCTTCTCAACCTTTATAGCTTAGTATACATTTAAGAAAATGATTCTTTTTTGTTATTTGAAACAAAGACATAGTGTCACAATAAATGTGTATTTTAACTGATTAAAATGTATTCATTACTCTTATAACGGGCTAGCAAATTATAGTGCTGATGCCAGTCAATTGAGAGATATTCAGGTACATAGACACAAGGATTTATACATGCCTTAAAACTATTCATTTACTCTGAATTGGTATAAAACAAAACCACATGAATACATATTTATATATTTTCTATATCACTAGAAAACAAAACTTTGAAAATGCCAGGATGATACTTTGGCATTTTCAAATGGACAAGAATTTTCAGTACTTCAATTATTTAAAATACAGTTTAGCTATAACAGCAGAATTCTTTACTGTTTATTATCTAATTCTTACCCTTTAAGCTATTTATATCAATGATTCTATTTAACATACTCAGGAAACTTCCATAGAAGCACTGTTATTTGGTTCACAATATCACAGAGGCTTATGGAGTGAAAACGTAAACCACGAGATCAACTCAGTTCCTTTGTCACTGATTCAAAGCTGATTGTGCATTTTATTCCAGAGCCCGATTACCTAGCTCAGCTGTGTGTTTGCTTTTCTTGGTGCTGAAATTCACTGTATATTTTCATAGTGTAATGTTAGGGAATTAAACTAAATGCACCACCTGCTTACCAATGATTCCCTAAGATCCTGAGCACTTGTTTACAAAGGAAACGTAAATAAATTTCTCATTCGTTTAATTCAAAGGAAAAAGTTAATGCATGTGTGAAGTAAAAATTGGGGGTAACTGCCATTGACCTTTCTGCTCTTTTATAAGGTTAATCAATAAGTCTAGGGTCCAGGTCCTGAGTGATAGAGATTCCGTGCTCATTGAATCTCTAGGCTGGTAGGAAGGCTGGTAGGAAGGTCCTGTGGATCGTGGAGACCTTCAGCCAGATTTCCTGGCTAAAATGCGCCTGTGTTTCAGAGTTTTTCCTTCTTTGTTAATTGTCTCTAATAAAAAAATTAGATTAGTAAATTTCTGATTCAAATATTTAGTTCTTCTATGTTTTTACATTCTTTATGTTCAGGCTAAATGCCACTAGCATTTAGAATGTTAAATAGATCTGTGATAGTGGATCATTAAAGAAAAATGATGGGCCAGAGATCTAACCCAGGGATGTGGGGCACCTATGGGTGTCATTAGTTCCCTTGAGTGTGTAAGCCTGGAGGTCCCTGAGAACCAACAGGTGTGGACATGAAAGTTCCCTAATACTGTCAGGATGACCTGGGTAACCCCTTTCACCACAAGGTCTGACAGCACCACATTCTCAGGCCTCTCACACTGCATGCAAACCCAGCTGGCCAAGAACCAGTGAGGTTCCCAAAGCCCTCACCCTGGCCTCCTGTGTACTGTCTGGAAAACCTCCCCCAAGTTTTTTCAGTTAGCTTCTCTTCTCCCAAATGCTTTCTGTCACTAAAAATCTTTACATAGCTCCCCTGATGATGCTGATGCTGATTAATGATAATAATAATGATGATGATGATGATGATGATGATGATGATGATAGCATTGAATTAGAGCATTGTCCTCCCATTGCTCATCGATTTGCTCGAGGGGGCACCAGTAATGTCTCACAACAAATTGTGAGACTTGTTATTACTGTTTTTGGCATATCAAATAGGTCACGGGTAACTTGCCAGGCTTTGTCATATGGACTAGATACTCTCAGTAGTTTGCCAGGCTCTCCAAGAGGGGTGGAGAAATCAAACCTGGGTTGGCCACATGCAAGGCAAATGCCCTACCCACTGTGCTATCACTCCAGCCTAATAATAATCTTCATTTGGTCACTTGGCATCTCATTACTCATCGACTTGCTCGAGTGGGCACCAGCAATGTCTCCATTTGTCCCTGTCACATGCTAGTGTAGCCTAATGTCATCTGCTCATTCTAGGAACATGAAGAGCCTCAAACCGATCATTCAGGGCCTTGACAAAGAAGTCTGACCATCTCATAGGTGGGCAACCACACGATTTTTGACATCCTGTGGAATCCAGTGGGTAATGGCTCTTGTCCAGCAGTCGTCTACAAATCACATTACATGTCCAGTCCATCTGATTTTCGACACCTTGGCAAATGAGACAGCATCACTGATTCTTGATCATCGAGGAGGTCGGAACTCCGGATTCTTTCTCTCATTTGAGTGAAGCATGATACTCCAAGCATAGCTCTTCCAATTTCTCTTTGGGAGACCCGAATAGCGTTCTCATCCTGTTTGCATAGGGCCCAGATCTCTGAGGCTTATATTAATGCAGGAAGAACAGTGGAATTGAAGAGATGTGCCCAGAGCCAGAGGTTCTTTGTCCTCTTAGCTATTTCTTAGATGCTCTTGAAGGTGTCCCAAGTCACTCTCTTCCTCCTGCACAACTCAGGTGCCAGGTCATTCGTCATGTTGAATTCTCGACCTAGGTACACATAACCTAGGTTGCATTCAGAGATGTTTATTCCATTGAAAGCTAATGGAACGTCAGGAATGAGACCGTTTCTCATAAACGTTGTCTTCGTGAGATTTAGCTGCAGTCCAACCTTTCCACACTTACGGTTGAAGTTGGCCAGCATTTGTGCCACTTGGCTGGTGTTTGATGTTATTAGAACAGTGTCAGTAACAACGAGTCTCATGATGGAGATGTTACTGGGTCTGCTCGAGCAAATCGATGAATAACGGGAGGACCGTGACTGTGACTGAGAACAGTGTCATCAGCAAAGCGGAAGTGGTGTAGTTGCCGACTGTCTATCTTCACTCCCATTTCTTCTCATTCCAGTCGCCACATGATGTTCTTGAGGGTGGCACTGAAGAGTTTCGGTGAAATGGTATCACCCTGCTGAACCCCTCTTTTGATGTCAATGATCACTTCCCTGTACAATGGTGAGATCCTGGTAGTGAATCCACAATACAGCTCACAGAGGATTCTGATGTATTGAGTTTGAATGCCCCGTTTGGCTGTGGGTTCGATGATCACTTCAGCCTCAGCAGAGTCAAAGGCCTTCTTTAAATCAATGGACATTAGACAGAGTGGCATCTTGAATTCCCGAGAAACCTCAATGAGCTTGGTTATCATGTGGATATGGTCGATCGTGCTGAATCCTTTTCGGAACCTGGCTTGCTTGCATGGTTGTCCTTCATCTAGTGTTATGGAAATCCTATCCTGTTCACTCAACTGAACAGCTTGTAGACGACAGACAACAGGCAGATTGGGCAATTGGGCATCCAATGTCGTGGATGTCTCCATTCTTGTACAGTAGTACAGTTCTGCTGGTTTTCCACTGGGATGGAACCTTGTATTCAGACAGGTAGCATGAGAAGAGCTGAGCTAGTGTATTGATGAGTACCGACAGCAGGTTCTTCAGGTGTTCGGGTCTGACATTGTCTGGGTCAGGTGCTGTTCGCTTCTTTACTGATGAAAGGGCATGTTGGATTTCGGAAGGGAGAACATTGGGAACAACATATCCATCCTGCTGAATTTGGTATGTGGGCAGGTGGACATGGCTATCGAAGAGATATGAATAGAAGTCATGGATAATCTTCTCCATTGCCCTTCTTGAAGATGTGAGAGATCCATCAGGACAATGGAGGGCAGTCATCTTGGTTTTGTAGCTGGCGAAGGACAGGCGGGCATTGTGAATGCTTTTCCTGGCTACTGCCACATCCGCCAGCACTGCTGCTCTTCTCTCTTTGTGGTCTTCTTTTATCGCTTCTCTGCACTGCTTTGTGAGCTCGGATGTTCACTTGCAGTTGCCTGAGGCTTGCGCCAACCCACAATGGCTAATGAGCTTGAGAGCTTTCAAAGACAAGCGTCTTTTTTTTTGTAGCTAACTCTTTCTTGGCGTTCTTTGCACAATCATGGAGGTGCTGAAGCAGTTGTTCGTATTCCTCGTCAATGTTGCCAATGAAGGCATCTTCTCATGTTGACGCAATAGTGCCAAAGAGCTCCCAGTTGGTGGACATTCTGGAGTTCTCTTCTTAAACTTTGCAGCCCTTTCTCCCTGCTCTGTGAAGTAGAATTTTGCACAAAAATGATGGTGGTCCGATCCCATTTGGAATTTTGGGACAACAGCAACATGGGTCAGGCAAGACCATCGATTGAATATGATGTGGTCAATTTCATTGTGGAACCATCCACAGGGAGACTCTCATGTCCAATGTTCAGATTCGACCTTCTGGAACTCTGAGTTACCATGGATGGTCTTGGTTGACATGATGAACTGAGACAGTCTCTCACCTTGTTGGTTCCATTCTAGACCATGGTTCCCGATGTGGAGTTCTTTGGCTGATCTTCTTGTTCCTATCTTGGCATTAAAATCACTGACAGTGATTTTGGAGAAGGTATGGTCTTCTGTATAGAACTTCTCCAGCTCTATGTCGAACTTCTCAATTTTTCCTTCATCATAATTGGATGTTAGTGTATAGACAACAAGGATAGAAACTTCCAGCAGTGAGCCACATCTATTCAAGTGTAATCATCCGATTCGGGTTGTTAGGAATTCAAATGGATCAATGTTTATGGCCAAGTTCATGTTGTTAATGACACCGACACCACCGACACCTCTTTTGTCGCATGTACCGAGGTACAGTTCTTCTCTAGTGCTGAAAATGGCGTGATGCGATTGATGCCTCCTCCTCTCGATCAGACCAATAATGTTGTACTTGATCTTTCGCCCTTGCACCATCAAGTCCTCGATGGATATATCTCATGCCAGCATACTTGCATTGAAAGTACAGAGTCATTTTTGTCCCTCTTCGTTTTGACAGCGTAGTTCGGCCCTGAGATTTTATCAGCTTCTCCTTTCTTATCCTTCTTATCGGTGCCATATTGTTGGCTCTTTCAGGGTCAGGGGAATGAGGCCCATTGTATTTACTGGTTTGGCATATCAAAAACACCACGGATAGCTTGCCAGGCTCTGCTGTGCGGGCGGGACACTCTCGATAGCTTGCAAGGCTTTCCGAGAGGGATAGAGGCTTTTAGGACATTGGAGGGCAGTCGTCTTGATATTGTAGCTGGCGAAGGACAGGCAGGCATTTAGGGTGGCCTCTAATCTGTCTTACAGGTGTTCCCATGGTTCAAACCATACTTGAACCCCATCAAATATAGTGTGGTAATCTTATATTAAGTGTTTTATGATATGTTTCATGATGCAAAGCATCTGTGTGGTCCGGAAAGCATCCTGGAGTGTGGCAGCGGCTGGGGAATGGAGTTAGCAGAGGTAGTGGAGGTAGTGGAAGTCTGCTGGGCTGCTGGGATCAGGCAGAGGATCTAATAATAATAATAATAAAAAACCAGCTCCCAGAAGAGAACAGTGCAGTCTCCTGGCCCCTCACCTGGCTATCCTCGCCGGGGCCCCTTGGAGGGGAGCGGGTTGAGCTTTCCTCCCCGCCCCGACCAGGGCTCCGGCAGCCGAAGACCTCCAGGACCAGCCACCACCATGCTGAGACCACTCTCCACACACATGAAGGTACTGGCAGAGGGACAAAGCCACACGGGTTCTGGGGCCAAGATCTCCAAGCCTACTCGAATCAGGGCCGAGCATCCTCCTCCCAGATCCTCCAAATTCCAGTAGGCAGGGGTCACACCCACCAACTGGCCCCCTGGCGCCGTGTAATCCCATCAGTGACCAAGACTCAGAGACTATAAAAACTAGCTCCCGGTTTATTATCTTATTATGACATCTTATTATCTCATTCCTACTTTGGACAAACTGGCAGGCTACCGAATGTAGCCTGCCCACACAGCAGAGTCTGGCAAACTCCCCGTGGCATACCCAATATGCCAAATACCAGTAACAATGATGGGTCTCATTCTCCTAAAGAGCCTTGAATATAATCTCAGGGCTAGGATGAAGGAGACATTACTGGGGCCTGCTCGAGGCAATCGACGAATAACAGGATGATTTGTGATTTGTGATTTGTGAATAATAAAAGATAATGCTATGATTCTGGCACCTGAAGTCCTAGGAGTGGATTTGTTCTCATTGATTAACTAGCCTGTGACTGGTACTCATTTTCTTAGACCTTAGGGCCTAGTAAGATATTTGAAAAAATGAGGTAGTTGGTATAAGTGATTGCTAAATTTTTTTATATTCTAATAAACTTGATTGCTAATCAATTATATTGGCTTGTGGAACCATGATACCACAGAGTAGATATGAGGTTTAGTTACTGTTTGCAGAAGCTCTCATTCTGAATTTTCTCTGGATATGGAGCACAGGACATCGAGAATGTGTCTGATTTCCTTTAATGGTGATAGAGGTCTTTGCTGGAATGATTCCACAGCAGGTAAGGCATTAGCCTTGCACATGGCTGACCCAGGTTCGATTCCGTTGTCCCTCTCAGCCCGGCAAGCTACCACAGGTATCCTGCCTGCACAACAGAGCCTGGCAAGCTCCCCGTGGCATATTCAATATGCCAAAAACAGTAACAAGAAGTCTCAGTTCGTGTTCCTGGAGTGAGCAGATTCCATTGGCCTACACTAGCACACAACAGGAATGAATGGAGATGTTACTGGTGCCTGCTCAAGCAAACCGATGAACAACAGGGCAACAGTGCTATAGTGCAGTGCTATAGAGGCCTTTGCACATGCCTTCTATAAAAAAAGCCTTAAAGTCATAGCTACATGCAAGTTAATCTAAAAGTCATGGTTTCAGGCTGAAGAGATAGTACCGGAATAAGGTGAGCCCAGAACCACTTATGGTCCTGTGTACTGTCAGGAATGATTCCTAAGTGCAGCGCCAGGAGGAAACCTTGAGCAGCACTGATGTGGGCCCATAAAACAGCAAAAACAATGATAACAAATTGTGTTTTCATTAAAAAAATTATAGAACGGGACGTGTGAGAATTATAGCACTCTTCATTTCAGAATTGATCTGTTGTCAGAGACTGTATGTCCTCTTTCAGAAGTCAAAGCGAGAGGGACTGAATGTGTTACATCACATTCCTCCAACATGTAACTCTCATTTTGGGAAGGTCGAGAAATTCTTGTATGCTTAACAACTGGATACCAGTTGTTAACTAAATTAACTAAATTAACTAAATTTTAAGTCTTTCTGTCTGTGAGAACCTTACTGGACAGTACCTGTGGGCTCCCTGGAGTTGGGAATCCTGGCTCCTTATACCTGATAAAGACTCTTTGGCAGCCATCCATATATTAGGATTCAAAAATATATTAGCTACATATCTCATTACCTAAAGAAACCAGGTTTCTTCTATAAATATGTTCCTACAGAATCATTCTGGTAAACTAAGCTTAAGATTTTACATAGGTGCAAAGTGAGAAAATAAGGTACATCAGAGAGATTAACTATACGTCACTGATAAAATAATCCACAGTCATCTTCAAAATTTTTTAAGTGGTCACCCATGTAAAACTTACTCCTCAAAAGTTTTCAGACATGTTTTATAATATTTCAAAATCACACAAATTTCAAATATTTAAAAATATTTCTTTCTTTTTTTTCCCCAACAGTTCTTTCAAAGTGGAATCTGTGCATTATAACAAGGGAAAAAGTCCTGACAATGATACTTTGACAATTTCAAGCTTCTACAGTTACTTACGAAATGGTAAAAGACTTACAGATATGATATGATCTGTTTTTCCTATGAATTAAAATGGTCATTCTGATACTAGCTAAACTGGTCTTTTCACTCTTACAGAAGTATGATAACCCATTTCGTTTGGAATATTCTTTCTGTAGGTTTCACAGAGCGAAGTGTTTGCTTCTTGATCAAATGCTGTTTTATTATTTTTATAAGGACCAAATCCAGTGGGTGGTCTTGGGGCCATTGTATGAACTATTACATTGAACCACATTCCTGACCTTAAATGCCTTTTTATCAGTGAGTTGCCCTCCCTTTTTTCTGGCACACATATCCTACCCTTTTCTCTGTTTTACATAATTTTGTGTACTAACATATTATGCCATATTTTATTTTCACTATCACTTACTACTATTAAAAGATAAGATCCATGTTTGCTAAACACTAGTTTTAGTCACTTTGATACATTCTATTTTCCTAGAATATTTTTTTGTGGGGGGGATTTTCAGGTCACAGTCAGTGATGCTCAGGGGTTGCTCCTGAAATTACTCCTGGCAGTGCTTGTGGGATCATATGGGATACCAGGGATTGAACCTGGATCGGCCGCATACAAGGCCTACCCACCTACCAGTTGTACTATCGCTTCGGCCCCAGAAAAATAGTTTTAAGGAATTAAGAACACACATGTTGAGTTATTGGTTAGATAGTAAATAGAAATACAGTTTTGGGAATATATTAATGAGATTCAAGATTTAGGTTTACTGCTTACTTCTTGGTGACTTTGGACTTCTTTTCCAGCCCATTATAGGTCATAGTATTACATTTTCAGTAGTGAGATAGGGTTCGGGATTTGATGTTTTTAATGCTTCCAAAGCTGTTCCAAAGTTGATTGTTACGGTAGGATGACCTGAAAAGCAGTATATAGAGGCTCTCTGAATTATTTGAAAAGAGTATTAGGATTTTTTTTTAATGTAGGAGTACTGATTTTTATTCAGCCACTGATTAGGCTGATTGAATTGTGCATGAAATATGCCATACTTTTTTTTTCATTTTTTATAATTTTATTTATTGAATCACCGTAAGAGCAGTTACAAAGCTTTCAGTTACAAAGCAGTTACAAAGGTTTTAAGTCTAGGTCATACAATGAAACACCTGTACCTTCACCAGTGCCAACTCTCCACCCCCCAAAACCCCAGTATACCCCCATCCCACACCCTCCCCCTACCTGTGAGGCAGATGATTTCCACATTACTCTCTCTCTACTTTGATTGTCTACTGCTGGTTATGAATAACATATGATGCCGCGTGGCTGCAGTAGTGGCCACGGGATTTTGAAATTTTAACAATTAAATCCGGAGGGAATTCTTGCCCAAACCTGCTGGGTTCCGAGATTTGTTCCTGAGTCTCTTGGATCATGGCCATTAAGCAGCTTGAAAAGGAGCCAGAGAGGCCATTTGTGGGTGGCAACTCAGGTTCTCATTGGGGTGGGGAGGACAGGACTGACTCGACCCCTGTCCCGTGAGGCCCTGCTTGTCTCGTCACAGCGGGCCCAAACCTGACTGTCCAATGGCCTCTGGAAGATGGTGGCCACCGAGCTGCCTAGGAAGAGCAGGCGGAGGGACAGCACCCTTTTCCCCCTGAGGTGGCTCAGTGACAGTAACCTACTGTGCAGTCCGGATGCATTTCTGCCAAAAGCTGCTGGGTTTCGAGATTTGTTTCTGAGTCTCTGGGATCATCGCTGTTAAGTAGCTTGATGAGGAGCCAGAGAGGCCGTTCATGGGCATGGGCGACAACTTGGGGTCTCGTTGAAGTGGGGAGGAAAGGCCCGGCTCCACCCCCATTCCATGAGACCCCATGTGTCTCATCACTGTGGGCCCAAACCTGACTGTCCAGTGGCCTCTGGAGGATGACGGCTACAGGACTGCCAGAGGGAACAGGCCAAGGCACGGAACCCATTCCCACCTAGCATGGCCTGGCACTGGTAGTCCACTGCAGAGCCCAGATGCATTTCTGCCTCCTTTGGGTTTCAAGATTTGTTTCTGAGTTTCTGGGATCATGGCCGTTAAGCAGTTCGATTAGGAACAAGTGAGGCCATGCCTCCAATTATATAGCTGAGCCAGAGGTGGTTTGTGGGTGTATCTCTCACATACCTAACTTTTGACCGTTTACTTTCTTGTTAAACTTTGCCCCAAGATTTTGGGATCTGGCCAAAGACACAGCAGCAATTTTGGAGTATATAGAAGTCTGAAGGAGCCATCAGGCTGCTGATGCACTCGCCTCAGTATTGGGAATATTTTAAAGGGTATATTAATAACCTCTAATTATTTAATGCATATATTTAAGAATTATGCTAATACTTTGATTATTTCTCCTCAATTAATGTACAAGCAACCATCAATAGGGAGGCGTGATCACTAATCTATCCTGGGTACGAATACAGAAAGTTACATAACTCACTCAACATAAAACACTAGTCCTACAGAAGATCCTAGAAACCAAGTTCCACTCTCATTCCAAACTGTCACTCTTTGTATTACTTCAGGTCACTTCTCCAGTTGTGATTACATGTCATGTTTCCTCTACAGAGCACCAGACTATCACCTGCCTTCACCTTAGAGACTAATCCTCACTAGGGCTATTTATTTTGGGAATGGGAATAGAATGTAAGTGGTTTCTGCAGAGGGAATAGCTAAGCAGAGAAAAGTAGGTCTCATCTTTTATTATTGTTTCCCAGACCCAAATAGCCCAAGAAGTTTATGAAATTACTGAATAACCTTCCTGATTTCTCAGGATGGTACATATAGCATTGGAAATTGGAAATTCAATTAAGCATTACAGAAATATTTTTGAATTCAGAAAATGGTAGTGAGTGAAAGAAGAGATTTACTCATTGAGAGATTTACTTTTCATTTGGGGGTGATTGGGCCAGGATTGCTGGTGGCTACTCAGCTCTGTTCTTAAGGGTTGCTGCCAACATGCTTACTGGATCCTACCATGAAATAGACGAGGAATGGCTGTATGCAAGGTCAGTGCTTAACACCTTTACTATCTCTCTGTCCCAGTATATTAGTTTTTCTTTCCCCCTTGAGTTTTCTTTCCCACTGCAGTTGCAATTCATTCTTAAATTCTTTAGAACTGCCAAGAAAATTTGGCTGTCTTTTCTACTTAGTGTAAGAATTTTAACAACAGTAAAATGTACTATGATGTACCCCAGGATGTCAGTAAGTAGTCACTATCACTGTCCTCCCATTGTTCATCGATTTCCTCGAGCGGGCCCACTAATGTCTCCATTTTGAGACTTGTTACTGTGTTTGGCATATACAGTACGTCACGGGGAGCTTGCCAGGCTTTGCTGTGCAGGTGAGATACTCTCGGTAGCTTGCTGGGCTCTCCGAGAGGGGCAGAGGAATTGAACCCGGGTCGCCCTGGTCGGCCGAATGCAAGGCAAACACCCTACCACTGTGCTTTCACTCCAGCCCTAGAGTTAAAATCACTGCTTTATGGTAGAATCACAAAGTCAAGAAAGGTACAAGGAAGACTTCCTACTGTGCTTATGAATAAGTTGAATTAAATGATTTTAAAATAATGTTGTTGAGGGCTGGTAGGGTGCTTGCCTTGCATACAGGCAACACATGTTCAATCCCTGGCACACCATATCTTCGCTTGAACCCTTTAGGAGTGATCCCTGAACATAGTGATAAATAAGCCCTAAGGACAACTGAGTGTGGCCTCAATCCTCCTCACCACCAAATGGAGTCAGAAGTTTCTTATATTGCTTCATGTTCTCAACTTACATTCTGTGCAATATCTTGTATCACATTTATCTTGAGCTTTAATGATAAACCTATGTAGATTTAGAGACATATATATACATACATACATGTATAATGGTGATTCGCTGAAATAATATTGTATTAATAATAATAATTAAAAATAGCTTATACTAGGATTTTAAACAAGTTGTTAATGTATTAATTTAAATAGAAAATTGTAGTGATACTCTTTCTAAAACACCATTTTTATCTCATTCCTGAGGTCTGACACCTAGATAATATACATTGGCCATCAAAAAGTCTTAATCCATTGATTTTTTCATTTGAATGAGAATATGTGCACATTTTCAGTTAATGGAAAGTTACTCATTAAGTGCTTTTTTGTGTTGAAAACTGCTGCACACTCTCAATGAATTAAAATAAACTAAGCATTAGCTTGCTCTAAAATTTTCACACTTAACATTAGGTTAAAAAGATAGAACATCCAAGAAGGTAAGCATAGAAGAAGTAACATATAACAAATTTAAACAAATTTAAAATTATATCTGTTGATCGAAATAGTATTCTGGTTAAGGACAAATGTCTTTGATTTTCTTTGTGATACTGATTAAAGATACTTAGTTAAGAATACTCATTCTTAAGAATAAGTAAGAGTAAGTAAGTAAGAATGAGTAAGACTAAGTAAGAATTCCAGAAACTCTTTCTATAAGGAAAGAATTGTAAAATTTGGTGATCTATCTGGAGTAGAAATAGTTGTACTTGCATTCTGTTAGTAAAAAGGTATAAATATGGCCTTGAGGTATTAAAGAATAATTTGCTTTGATGTGGATATATGTTAGTGTATTTGTCAAAAAATGCATTGACACAGTGGAATACTATGGAGCTGTCAGGAGAGATGAAGTTCTGAACTTTGCTTATAAATGGAGAGACATGGAGAATATCATGCTAAGTGAAAACAGTCAGAAAGAGAGGGACAAACATAGAAGGATTGCATTCATTTGTGGAGCATAAAACGACATAACATGAGGCTGACACCTAAGGATAGTAGATACACGGAACAGATAGATTGCTCCATAGCTGGAAGCCTGCCTCATGAGCAAAGGGGAGAAGGCAGCTGGAATAGAGAAGGGATCACTAAGAAAAAGATGACTGGAGAAATAGGTCAGGATGAGGGATTTGTGCAGAAAGTAGATAAAGGACCAAACATGGCAACCTCTCGGGGCCTTATTGAAAACCATAATGCCCCAGAGTAGAGAGAAATTATGAGGAATCATGTCTGCTATAGAAGCAAGGTGAGGGTGGGAAAGGGTGGGTATACCCGGGATATTGATGGTGGGGAATGTGCACTGGTGGAGGGATGGGGGTTTGATCATTGTGTGATTGTAACCCAAACATGGAAGCTTGTAACTATGTCATGGTGATTCAATAACATTTTTAAAAATGGATTTAAATGGACTCCTCTAAATTCAGGCTATATGTGAAATATAATTGATATACTTTTGCAAGGCACCAGTGACTTTGTTAATACACCCTTACCTTAGTATGTATTAGAATGAACCGAAGCATTGGTGTTTGTGGGGAGAAAAAGTTCTTGGATTATTCTAATGTGCAGTTTTAGGTACCATTCATTAGTTAATATTGCCTGAATATAGTTGTCTTATTTGTATTTTTAGGAAAGAATGAAACCCAGATTTCTGAGGCTGACATATTACTTTTGAAACTAATTTCCTGTTGGAGAGATCAATCTGTGCAGGTATGCTGTGATACAGTCAATGTTTTATTGCAAAGCTTCCTTATTGCAACTCACTTATGCTCCCCTTTACTTAAGGGTGTAAGTAAGGATATGGTGTTCTTACCCTTACAAAATATGCTCCGAAGGACTTTTACGTAATGGTTCCCAAAGCAGAGACAGACATAAAAGGGAAGGTAGAAATTTCAGTATACAGGAGGATATCAAAATAGTGTGTTTGCACAGAGGGATCTGAGGAAGGTAGGTTCCTGATGGGGTTTTAATTTGCGGCACAGTTGTCTATTTTTTAATTCCAAAATATCCCATGACATAATGGTCATGACATTTGAGATTTTTCTATGAATAGAAATTTATATATATATACACATATTTTTAAATTCTATAAATACTACATATGTACTAATTCGACAATCAACGGGATGACAGTGACAGTGACAGTGACTACATATGTAGCTGATTTAAAAACTGGTTCTTGAATGATTTAAGTGCTTCTTCCTTTTAGGTTATTTGGATCCCCAAAAGCTGAGTGGGTTGCCTTGCTCAATAAACAACAAATAGTTGCACATTAATTAGAGGAAGTTACAGGAACTGGATTCTTCTATATGAGCTTAATAAATATAAAAGATTTAAGATAACAACAGTAATAATTCCAATCAAAAATGAATATTCTTAACTAAGAATAAAAGTTAACAGGATAACAAAGTTAACTCTAAAGAAAAGGCAGGGACTGACACCATAAATCAAACTAGCTCATCACATGGCAGGTATTAATAGACATGAGTCACCACTATTTAGAAGTGTAATATTAGTACCATACGCTGGATTTCATGGTACACAGTCTCTATCACAGTGTCCCAATCACCTTATAAGTGTGAGTAAACATGAACCTGTTTTGAATTAGGTTGCTGTCCAGTGCTAGTAAATATGATTCGAGATTCATCAAGTCAAACCAACCTAGCATCTGAGTCTGAGTTTAACAATAACAGAGGGATTATCAGTGGATAACCAGGAAGCTGCTCTGATATTTTAGGGAATCTTCCTGTATTTAAAACTCTGAAATCTAGCTTCTATTCCAGTAGTTTGGTTGCCAATTGACATCAACTTAAACTCGCCATGTAAAACCTGGAGCCTACAACTCTCAGATGATTTCATGATACATAAAAGAAGCTGTGTAAGTATTTAGATGATTACTCAGCATCTCAAGATCACCATTCTTAGTGTTATCTCAAAGCCCCAGTACAGGGTATACTTTTGAGAGACAAGGATCATATAGAATAGACAATAACAGTGGGTGACATGACTCAGCTTGACAGCACAAATGCTTCTAAGGGGATAGGAAGCAGGCAACATGATGTAGCTGTATGACACATTTCAGTATTGGCTAGGGAAGGATAATAGGAAGATGGCCTTGAATTCTACCTAATCCTGGTCTGTGCTTCATCTCATCCCAAGTATAGGCTGACACACCATCACTAATTTGTTGTTGTTGTTATTGTTTTACTGAAGGGTAAGGGTTTAGAATTTTAGGAAGATATATATTGTGGAGGACAGAGAAGTAAGGGTCATAGAATATTTATCAAGTTTGTTTGAACTTGAGATTCCATGTCTGGGGTTCTTTAAAATTAGGTGAAGATACTGGATTTGATACCCTGTGAAATATGCATCACCCTCCACACTACCCTACCACAGCCCTTGACTACATATATACAAACTAGAAGGTATACTTTGTACTACTAGGGAGTAGGGTAGGGGTGGGGTTAAGTCTTTGCGCTGTGCTCAGTACTTTTCCCTGACGCTGTACTCAGAGAGTCCTCCTGGTGGCATTTGGGGGACATATGAGGTTCAAGGATGGAGCCTGAGTAGCTTGAATGTAAGGCCCTACTCTCTGTAATTACTTCTGCAATCCCACTTAGTAGTATTTTAAGCTACCTAATACCACATACATAGATACACATAGAGCAATAAAATGTCTTAGTCATTTATCTGATATTCTGTAATCTTTTAACTTTGTCTTTTATTGCTTCATCACTGTAGCACTCCATATGTATTTGTGAGTAGAATTCATTGCCCCCACAACTGAAGTTTCATCCTACCACCAAAATGATGCCTCTGTCGAATCACACCCCTTTTCCTTTGGTCCCAGTTACCACAATAGTTTTCACTGAGTCCAAAAGCTAATTTTGTTGGTGTTTGCCTTTACATTTCCTTTGTATAGAGTACACCTGTGAGTGAAGCCATATAGTAATTGATTTTTCACTTCCTGACTTAAGATAATAATAAGATATTTCACTTAAGATAATCACCTCTATTACATCAATTGTACTCCAAAAGACACAGTTTCGTCAGTTTTAATGGCAGAGTAATATTTCACTGTGTATATTATATATATTATATGAACTATATGGTACAAATGCATATATAATTTTTAAAACGTACACAGGTTTTATTTGGAGGTTTTGAGGGGAAGAAGGGAGAGAGAGAGAGAGAGAGAGAGAGAGAGAGAGAGAGAGAGAGAGGTACTATATGAGGTGCCAAGTATTGAATCCATGTCAGCTGTGTACAAGGCCTTAGTAGTGGTATTATAACCTTGGCCCAGTTTTTTTTTTAAATGAATATTCCATTTTCTGTAGAGATGCATAATCCACTTTATCATCATTTGTAGCAGAATTCCTTTGTCTTTAGATACTTGCAAAAATTTGTTTCCAACTTTTCCAAAATAGGCCATTTTCACAATATGATGTAATAATCCCTTGAAGTTTTTATTTGATTTATGTTTTCCTACGTATTGATTTTTTTTTATTTTCATGTGTTCTTCCTTGGTTCTTCTGAGCACTTCTTTAGAGGAGTGTTTATTCATTTCTTTTGCCCATTTTATGGGATTCAGTTGTTTGCTTTACTGTTGCTGAGTTGTATAAGTTCTTTATTTATTTTGTTTATCAAGACCCTTGCTGAACAGCATTTTCTCCCAATTGTTTTTACTTACAAGAGTTGGGTCTCCAAATACATCTGTGGTATTGAGGTTCTGTAGTGTCTAACATGCTTTCTTCAAACAATACTGGCAGTTGTGTAAAATTTAGGTATTTAATCCATTTTGATATAATGTTTGTGTCTGGGGTAAACATAGGAAGTTTCAAGTCTGATGTTGTTGTTGCTGTTTTGGATATGACTTAACATTTTTTCCCCAGTACCACTTGTTGGAGGGACTTTCTTTTTTATTTCATTGGGTGTTCTTGACTTCTTTGTTATAAATAATATGTCATTTGGATTTATTTCTCCATTCCTAGTCTATTCATTAGGTCTTTAGCTTGTTTTTGTTCCAGTCCCAAAATATTTTAATTAATATTGCTTGGTAAAATACAATTTGAAGACAGGAAGTGTGTGCTTCAGTTTTTTTTTCTCATCCTCACTTTGGCTTTAATCTTTGTGGTACCACACAAATTTTAGAATTTGTCTTATTTCCTTGAAAACTTATGTCATTGATATTTTACAGTGATTGAATTTATAAATATAGTTAAAATAGTATTTTTTTACTAAGCTGTTCTTTCTAACCAGACATTCTTTGCTAAATTTGTCTTTAAGAAAAATAGATATTCAAATTAATATAATTAATCTCATGTTAAAAAAATGAAAATAGATGATGGTGAAGAATTGAGAACTCTTTCCATTTTTCTTTCAGAATCTGATGTATTATTTAAGTCGTAGTGTCTTAACAGCTATATTTCAATTATTTTTGATATTAATTCTAGTAGAGAAGAACATTATTATATATATGAAACACATTAAAAAATTCTAGACCTTAAGGTTTGTGCAAGACTTCCAAACATTTATGGAATATTTCAAATAATTCATTTAAAATATTTTTACAGGTAATTGAAGCAATACAAGCTGTTCTCTTGGCTGAAGTCCAACAGCACATGAAGCCTTTGAGAAGAACACCGGTTAGTAGTCAACCAGAATCTATGGCAGAGAGTGGGAACTTCGAGATAATGCAGATTCTGCCAAAGATAGCCTTTGACAAGGAGTTGGAGTCAGAGTGTTTTACAGACACTTTGCCTCTGCAAAGTAAGTACAGAATTTATTGGCATACCCTTTCATAAGAACTTGTTCTACTACTTAAAATATGTTGAGAATGAGTTCCCAATATATCATCAACTCTGCAAAATTCAAAGCTAAGTGCAATTGCTTCTGACCTATTCTGCTCTCAGTTGTCTCTTATAGTTGTCATATTTAAAGATCGTTTAAATTCTATTACAGCAAATATTTTCTAGAACAAAAGTTTGTAATTTATCACTGTCACTGTCACTGTCCTCCCGTTGTTCGTCGATTTGCTCAAGCGGGTTCAGTAACGTCTCCATTGTGACACTTGTTACTGTTTTTGGCATATTGAATATGTCACGGGTAGCTTGCCAGGCTTTGCTGTACAGGCAAGATACTCTCCGTAGCTTGCTGGGCTCTCTGAGAGGGGTGGAGGAATCGAACCTGGGTTGGCAGGGTGGGCCTTGTGCAAGGCAAACGCTCCAGCCCCTTGTAATTTATAAAGAAAGCAATTTGAAGTTAATTAATTAAAAACTAAAGCACATTTACGAGTAGTAGCTGAACAGAATTTATAGTGTAAGAGTAACTGATCATAAAAGGTATCTTTTGAAGAAACCTTGGAATACCAGGTTTGATTCCAGGCATGACACAAGGAGTAAGTCGAGCACTGCTGGGTATGGCCCAACAGTGAAAAAATAAAACAAAATAAAAAAGACACCAAAACAGTAACAAGCCTCACAATGGAGATGTTACTGGTACCCACTCGAGCAAATTGATGAACAATGGGATGACTGCTTAAATATCACAGATTTACATATTACATTTTGTGTAACTCTAAAAATATGTATTATTTTATTTTACTTATTTGGCTTTTGTGTTGCACCCCATGGTGCTCAGGGCTTACTCTGGTTCTGCACTTAAGAATCACTCCTGACAGGTTTGGAAGACTGTGTGTCCTGCTGAGGATTGAATTTGGTTTGGCCACCTGCAAGGCAAGGTCCCTACCCTTTTTTACTATTCCCCTAGAACATTCCTTTTTAAATTAATTTTAAATGACTGCATTTGTGTTCTCATGGGAAAATATCAAAGTATGACTTTATTCCAAGTCTCCAAAGACAGTCCCATTTATCATGTAGTGACTGTTATCAGGTAACATTTCTGATAAAACTTATGCCTAATATTGACTCTAGTTCATTCACTTCCCCTAAGGCTTTCCCCCTGTTGAACAAGAAAATCACGACATGCTTCTAGGTGAAACTTTTGATTAGTTTTTTTTTAATTAAAAAATTTTTAGTCACCATAATTTACAGAACTACAAAGTTAAAGCTTGATAAGTTTTGCTGTCATGTGTCTTACCTGTTTTTTGAAATCTTACCAAAGCTGACCCTGTTCTATTAATTCTTGGTTAAATAACTATTTTTAATTTAGGGCCAGAGACTTTGTAGTGCCAGCTGGCAAGGGATGCTCTCTGACCCTTGCAATCTCCTCTTAAATGATGTGTTCTGATTCAGTAATCTTCATTTTCTATACTGTCTGCACCAAGAAAATTTGGCCGAAATCAACATGATCTAAAATTTAAAAAACAAAAATTAGGCCATTTTCTTAGAGTTTTTTTTTAACTCACTCAAAAATCACACTTTATGTTACCAAAGGAAATACAGTGTATTATAATTCAGCTCTTATAAAGGAAACCAGATGGTCCCTATAGTAAAATGAGCAGATTTCCTGAATTATTTGTATATGAGATATATCCAGAGAGCCGTTGAAATCAAATGAAGTGAAATCAGTTAGAAACATATATATGCTTGAACTTCATATTTTTATATATTACTTTTTTAGAATTTTCAAAGTTTCTTCTTGTAGTGTATATTTGACTTGAGATCTTAATAATTGTGAATTGGTATTTTATGGGAAATTAGTAGATTTTATTTGAACTTTTAAAAAATTTATTTTAGGCACCATGATATACAGCGCTTTATTTTTTTAAATAAATTTCATCGGATTACCATGAGATACAGTTACAAACTTGCATGATTACATTTCAATCATACGATGCTCGAGCACCCATCCCTCCACCAGTGCTCATTTTCCACCACCAGTGTTCTCAGTATCCCTCCCACCACCCCCACCCCATCTCAGTACAATCCTTCTTATTCTCTTTCCAATTTGGGGCATTATGATTAGCAATACAGATACTAAGAGGCCATCACGTTTGGTCCTTGGTAAAGTTTCAGCACACATATCCCATCCCAGGTGATCCCTCCAATCATCATTTACTTAGTGGTTCCTTCTCCATCCCAACTGCCTTTTCCCCCAGCACGTGGGCCGACTTCCAAAGCGTGGAGTGATCCTCCTGGCCCTTGTCTTTACTGTCCTTAGGTGTAGTCCTATATTATACTATATTTTGTATTCCACAAATGAGTACAGTCATTCAATGTTTGTCCCTCTCTGACTCATTTCACTTAGCATGATACTCTACTTGTCCATCCACTTATATGCAAATTTCATGATTTCATCTCTTCTAACAGTTGCATAGTGCTCCGTTGTATAAATGTACCAAAGTTTCCTTAACCAGTCATCTGTTCCTGGGCACTCAGGTTTTTTCCAGATTCTGGCTATTGTGAACAATGCTGCAATAAACATACAAGTGCAGATGTCATTTTTACTGTGTTTTTTCACAGCTCCCGGATATATTCCCAGAAGTGGTATTGCTGGGTCATATGGAAGCTCAATTTCTAGTTTTTGGAGGAATGTCCATATTGCTTTCCAAAAAGACCAGTCAGCATTCCCACAAACAATGAGTGAGAGTCCTTTTCTCCCCGCATCCACTCCAGCACTGGTTGTTCATGTTCTTAAGATGACACCTCATTGTTGTTTTGATTTGCATAATTTGCTAATGATGATTAGCAATGTAGAGCATTCTTCCATGTGCCTTGTGGCCATTTGAATTTCTTTTCTGAGGAAGTTTCTATTCATTTCTTCACCCCAGTTTTTGATGGGGTTAGAGATTTTTTTCTTGTAAAGTTCTACCAGTGCTGGGGCTGGAGCAATAGCACAGTGGATAGGGTGTCTGCCTTGCATGCGGCTGACTCAGGTTCGGTTCTCAGCATCCCATATGATCCCCTGAGCACCACCAGGACTAATTCCTGAGTGCAGAGCCAGGAGTAACCCCTGTGCATTTCCGGGTGTGACCCCCCCAAAAAAAAAAACAAAGGTTCTACCAGTGTCTTATGTATCTTGGATACTAAGCCTCTATCTGATGGGTATTGGTTAAATATATTTTCCCATTCCTTGGTCTCTTTCTGTATTTTAGTTACTGTTTCTTTTGAGGTTGCAGAAGCTTCTTAGTTTAATGGAGCCCCATTTGTTTATTAGTCCCATTTGTTTCCACTTGCTTGGTCAGTGGTGTTTCATCATTGAAGATGCCTTTAGCTTCAATATCATGGAGAGTGCAGCTGATATTTTCCTCCATGTACCATAAGGATTCAGATTTGATATTGAGGTCTTTAATCCACTTTAATCTGACTTTTTGCTTGGCATTAGACAGAGGTCTGAATTCATTCTTTTGCATGTAGATGTTCAGTTTTCCCAGCACCACTTGTTCAAGAGGCTTTCCTTGTTTCACTTCACATTTCTTGCTCCTTTATCAAAGATTAAGTGATCGTATACTTGAGAGTCTGTGTCAAAATACTCAATCTGTTCCATTGGTCTGCAGGTCTGTTTCTATTCCAATACCATGCTTTTAAGTACTTCTGCTTTGTAGTACAGTTTGTGGTTGGGAAAGGAGATGCCACCCATCTTCTTTTATCCAAGGACTGCTTTGGCACTTTGTGGGAATATATTACTCTGTATGAGTTTCAGGAGCATTTTGTCTATTTCTTTGAAAAATATCATGGGTATCCTTATAGGGACTACATAGAAACTGTACAATGGTTTGGGGAATATTGTCATTTTGATGATGTTAATCCCCCTGATCCATGAGCAGGGGATGTCTCTTCATTTCCTAGTGTCCTCTTTTATTTCTTGAAATGTTTTGTAGTTTTCTTTGTATAGGTCTTTCATCTCTTTAGATAAACTGATTCCAATGTTCTTGATTTTCTGAGGCATTGTTGTGAACAGGACTTTTTTTTTACTATCTTTTTCTTCTTTTTCATTATTTGTGTTTAGGAAAGCCATGGACTTGGGTACTGATTTTGTAACCTGCCACTCACTCTGCTATACAAACCTATTATTTCTAGGATGTTTTCTGTAAAGCCTTTAGGGTTCTCTAAGTATAGTATCATGTCATCTGCATTTATTGATATGATCACACAGTTTCTATCTTTCCTTTTGTTGATATAGTGTATTGTGTTTATTGACTTACGAATGTTAAACCATCCTTGCATCCCCAGGATGGATCCTACTTGGTTCATGGTGTATGATCTTTCTAAATCGTTGAATTCTATTTGCTAGTAATTTTTTGAGGATTTTTGCATCTGTATTTATCAGGGATATTGGCCTGTACTTCTCTTTTTTTGTGTGTGGTTTCTCTGTCTGCTTTTGGTACGAGGGTGATATTTGCTTTATACAAATTGTTTGGAAGTGTTTCTCCTATTTATTCAATTTTTTGGAAAAGCCTGAACAGGATTTGGAGTAGATCCTCTTTGAAGGTTTGGAAGAATTACTTTTGTTTCTCGGGAGACTTTTGATTACTCTTTCAATTTTTTTGATAGTGATAGGTCTGTTCAGGTATTCCAAGTATCTTGGGTCAGCTTTGGGAGATTATAGGAGTCCAGGAATTTATCCATGTCTTCAAGGTTGTCTAGTTTCGTAGCATATAGCTTTTCAAAGTAATCTCTGAATATCCTTTGAATTTTTGTGGGTTCTTTTGTGATGTCTCCCTTTTCGTTTCTGATTCTGTTTATTAGGGGTCTCTCTCATTCCTTGTGAGTCTT